TAGTTGTTACGTACAGAGTTGTCATGGAATTTTTAGAAAATCTTTGTATGACATTCTCTTCTACTTTGGGTAAGTCATAAGCACTGTCTGTGTAATTTTTTTTCTTTTAATCAATAAAATCAGGAGAATGTCTGCCAAGTACCACCCTAGTTCTTTAAAAAAAAGAAAAAAAAAAGTGTGCAGTTACATACTAATCATGCATTTCAGAAGATCTTTTGCCTTTCTTTTTCCTTTTATGACGTTTGGATTCAACGTCCAATTTAGCACTCTCAATTGAAAAGAAAGATTAGAGTTGTGACTGTTTTGGATGACCTTCTCGTCATTTTATCTTTACCACCATTGCCAAATGTTGTTTTTCACTTCAACTTTTTTTTTCCCCTCTAAGAGATTTATATATATAAAAGTACTGCCAAATTATTTCCTCGAATACAGTAATGATGTATAAGGAACTGGAGCCGTGTCACGAATAAGTTTTTTAAGTGGATGCATCGACCGAATGAAGAGGACTGACCAGTTAAAGCCATCAATATACATAAAATTAGGTATTCAAGTTAGCTTTCCACCTAGCTTTCCTATTCAAATATATAGTAAAAAACTAGCAACTCTTTACTAATTGTAAAAAAAAAACAAAATACACACAATCGAAAAAACAAGAAAAATAAAAATAAAAGCGGGATGATTGTGCTTGCCTATCCCTAACTCCGTCACATTAATTGATCTCTTCTTTAGTAAGTTCTACGAATTTCTACTTCTCTAAGGTCTGTTTGATAAAGGCATTTAATGCTTAAAAATTATTGGATTAAACATTTTTTTTTATTTCACCATGTTTGATAAAAAAAATGAACCTTTTAATGAATTAAGTGGTGCTGAAACTGTAGTATAAATATAAGTAATAAAAGTTAGTTTATTGTTTATTCTATAACTGGTTCATAAATTCAGCATTTCTAATTTAGTATTAAATATTCAAAATTAAGCATTAATTTTTATTAAACAGTTCCTAAGTAAATCAAAATATAAATGAAAATCAGCGTAACCTAGTGCTCGTGATTTGACCGGAATTAGCACGATAATCAGCATACACCACCGTTCTCTCTCTCTCTCTCTTTTTTTTTTTTTCTTTTTTGTTCACCTGATTACTTGGTGCCAATTAAGCCCCCGAGTGGTATTTCACAAATCGCACAGAATTAGACTAAAAGAATGATAAGTAAACTACCGCAAATAAGTCTCAAGTGATCACCTTTTCAAAATAAATAAATAAATAATAAATAAAGTCCGGAGAAATATTGTATGGTAATCATAATTGAATTCCCTCATAACCTGTGTTTGCTATGTAACCTGCTTTTGTAAACTGCATAAAGTGTAGACGCCGAAGACTGAAGTAAAGAAAGCCATGCTTCAGAATCCTTCTATACTACTCCCTTCGTCCTGAAATAAGCAAATGCCATGGATTAATTTAAGGATTCTAAAAAGTGGAGGAATTTTATACATTCATACTTGCTGCTTCTTCAGGCTAATTTGCTCTTCTGGAGTTTTCTAGATCATCAAGCTCGATAGAGATGACAATTCGATTCGATGATAATTATATAAAGAAATAGTTATGGTGTGCAAGCGCTGTGCCTAATGACAGATAATCAAATACAGTTATTGGTATGTGTCTCAGATAATTCACATTTGAGAATTCAACTATTGTGAAACCTGTTTTTGTTTCTCCTGAGGTTAATTTAAAAAATTAGTATTCGAATTAAAACAAGGCAAGGCTACAGCGTAAATTTCTTTAAAAGAAGGAAAAAAAAAAAAAAACAGAACATGCACTAAAGCAGCCCATCATTGGCTCAATAATTCAAAATGAATATTGAAGATAAAAATTTATCGAATTAACTAAAAGAAGGAAAAAAAGTATGAAATGCTTTGTCATTTACGATTAGTTAAACTCTCATCAATAAAGAGGCGCTATGGAGAGTCAGCAAAAAAAATATTACTTTCTGTCCCAAAATAATTAGCACGTTCAAATTTTTACTTTTAGTATAATTTTTATTAAAAATAAAAATTTAATTTAGACAATTATTCAGGATAGAGAAAATTCTTGGTCCTATGAAATTATTGGATTTAAGAAAAACCCTTTAGAACCTTCTCCTGCCGAACTTATTTGTCTGTATCCAATGATATCCGAGCCAGACAATAGTCCGTCAAATGAAAAAAAATAGAGATAGCAAAGAATATGAATGATTAAGTTCATTTATAATGTACTCCATTTATCTCAAAATTATTATTTAATTTAAATTTTTATTTTTAGTTCAATTTTTACTAAAAATAAAAATTTATACTAGACAATAATTTCAGGATAAAGAAAATATCACATGTGACAAATTCACTGAAATGAGATACTCATACCAACATACCGAATGAGTTCTGATATATTGAGTTTATTTTTTAGTTGGATAGGTTTCACATATATGAACTCTTTTGCTTTTGGAGATAAGCTTAAACCTAGAAAATTACGATGTGCCAACTAGTTTAAATCCGGTCTAATATCATGTTAGCGTGTCACTTATAATTAATTGAAAATGAGCGGAAATCAGAAGACACTTATTGTACTATATATAATATATTAGTGATGTCTGGTCGCGCAATGCGCGACCCTGACTCAATATATATATAGATCTTAGAAATGTTTGTATCTGGAAAAAAAATATTTTGTATTTGGCCCGATATATTTTAGAAATATTTGAAGAATTTTAGAAATGTTTTATAAGTGTGATCTTTGTATTTTGCATAAAAATAAATTGTATTTGGCCCGATACGTTTTAGAAATGTTTGAAAATTTTAGAAATGTTTTATAAGTGTTACTTCTTAAATATAAATAACCTTGATCAAATATATGTCTTGAAGTAAATGCTAGAAAAAATATAAAGCATCCTAATAAGTTTAAATATTAGTAAGATAATTTATTGATGTTCTTTATTGGTTATGCCAAATCAATACTTAGTTTTGGAGATTTATAATAGGTTTGTAGTTAGCTTCCTCCAAAGGGTATACGCTTAATTGTTGGAACTATTTCTTCGAAAAGTTTATAGGTAGTAAAATATTAAATATATGATTTTGATATTGGTTAATTATTGAAACTGGTTGCTAACAAATATGAGAATGAAAATAATATAAATTTGCATATGTTTCAAGATATAGCAAAAAAGAACTCACCTCACCATGGCAAATAAAAAAAAAAGTAAAAGATAGCCCATTAAAATTTAGAAATTTTTTTTATCTGTAGGTAAAAATGATGTATAAAAATACAAATAAACGTAAAAACATCATTCCTTCCCTCTCCACCTCAAATTCATAAAAGACTTCCCCAGAAATTAGTTAAAAGAAGTGACCTAAACTATTTATATGATGAAGAACTAAAAAAGGTCCAAAAACCAAATCCAAAAAATTATATTCTTGAAACCCCGAACACAAAAAAATGTGCTTCATTTGCAAATATAATAATAATAATAATAATAATAATAATAATAATAATTGGTCAACTGGGAGTATGAAACAAAATCAAAAGCATTTAAACAAAGAAAAAACACACTTCATAACTGGTCATATACAAAAAAAAAAAACCCGAGACTCCATAATTAAAAAAAGAAAACCACTCTAATTGAATGAAACATAAAAAAAAAAATTTTAAAAACCACACTTTGTAACAAAAACCCAATCAATCAATTCAATCCAAACATAACTAAAATCATACAAAAATTCTAGACTAACTAACCAAATAAGAAATCACATCATACTACCTGACAATGGCTCCAGTAGTTGTAACGGATGGACGCATAAAAATAATAGTAATAACACTATTCTTGAACCGAAAAAATAAAAAATAATAAAAGCCAAACCAATTATCTGTGGAAATAAAATCATTTAAATTTTAATACCTATAATGGCACCACCACAACGGCCGAAGCAAGATCAATGAGAATTTTTTTTTCCTTTGTGTTTATATAGAGAGGTAAAGAGAATATTTTTTGAAGTTAAAATTTTATCCGATTAGGATGTAGTTGATCATCACTAATGAAAAGATTGAACATGCTAATAGGAAAGGAGTATATTTCACCACATATTCTCAATTGATGATTGATGAGGAATTTTTTTTTTTTTAATTGTGGAGAAGGGATTGATTAAGGAGTCCATTGTCGCGGCGATGGAGATGAGGATTTGGGTTTTTTATGAACCCGTGGTTTTTTTTTGTTTGTTTTGACGAAAATAGGAGGTGGAAATAAATTTGGACTGCATTTGCCTTTTAAGTTTAGGAGATGTGGAAATAAAAATTTATTTTAAAAATACGATGTGGAAATGCCACATGGCAAATGGTGGTGCTTTTTCTTAAGTGTGTAGAGAGGTAAAGAGAATATTTTTTGAAGTTAAAATTTTATCCGATTAGGATGTAGTTGATCATCACTAATGAAAAGATTGAACATGCCAATAGGAAAGGAGTATATTTCACCACATATTCTCAATTGATGATTGATGATGAATTTTTTTTTTTTAATTGTGGAGAAGGGATTGATTAAGGAGTCCATTGTCGCGGCGATGGAGATGAGGATTTGGGTTTTTTATGAACCCGTGGTTTTTTTTTATTTGTTTTGATGAAAATAGGAGGTGGAAATAAATTTGGACTGCATTTGCCTTTTAAGTTTAGGAGATGTGGAAATAAAAATTTATTTTAAAAATACGATGTGGAAATGCCACATGGCAAATGGTGGTGCTTTTTCTTAAGTGTTGTTTTTGTTTCTAATATAGTAAGATATGTATTTATACTCCCTCCGTCTCATAATTATTGTCCATTTTGAATTTTCATTTTCAGTTCAAATTATAGTAAGAGTGAAATTTCAAATTGAACAATAATTTTAGGACAAAGAGAGTACTAAATGCTAATTATATAAACACTAAAAAAGATCTTGGATAATTGGCAATATTATTTATAATTAAGTAATGTGACATGTGATGGATAATTGGACTGCATTTGCCTTTTAAGTTTAGGAGATGTGGAAATAAAAATTTATTTTAAAAATATGATGTGAAAATGCCACATGGCAAATGGTGGTATTTTCTCTTAAATGTGGTTTTTGTTTCTAATATAGTAAGATGTATAGAAACCTTAATGCTGTTCAGAAAATATTAGCATTCAAAAAGGGTATAAAACACAAATTACACAATTAAATTAAACCCTGGACTAGCTAATTTTCGAATTTATTTTAGTTTGAGAATACCTTGCGTTCAATAGAAAATTTGGAGCTAAAACTCTATCCAATATTACATATTTTAAAGGGAAGAAAAAATTGGGACACCCGGTAACGTATTTCCAGCATCAACAATGAAAACATTTCCCGTGACGTAGCTTGAAGATTCATGGATTAAATATCGAACAAGTGATGTTAACGCAGGGTCAGAAGTGCCAAAAGTGCGTAGTGGAAGAGTTTTCTTGGCGACAGTATCTAACCAATCTTTTTCCAAGAGGCCTTCGGTTATTTCTGAACGGAAAAGTCCAGGTGCTATTGCATTCACCCTAATTTGGTACTCCCCCAGTTCTAATGCCATCATCTGTTGATAACAATTACAATGTCAAATTGGAAGTGAAAGAAAAGAGGAGAAAAGGAGGAATTAGATTATCAGCTGCTTTGTACACCTTACAACACTAAATAGTTGAGAAAATGGTACGATATTCCCTCTGATCCTTATTACAAGGCATTTAGAAAAAGTAAATAATAACTTCTTAAAACTTAATTATCTTAATAATCTTAAATTTTAATAAATTATAAGAATAAAAAAAAGATATACCCAAATCAAAATCGAATAAGAATTGCAAACGGTATAATTATAACATAATTACAAAACATATTAAACCAAACTGAAAGAAAAAAATTAATCTCGAATAAAAGGAAACATCGAATTGTACAAAACTGTTCTTTAATTACAAAAAATAAAATAAAAATTATTATGTACATGCAGTTTTATCTCATTGGTCGACATGAAATGAAACATAATGATTTTGAAAAATAAGTAAGACCAAGAGTCGCCTTTCGCCTGGAAAATTCCGTTCAAAGCAAAAACATGTATTGGTGGGGTGTCTATAAAAAGATCGAGTTATAAAATTGTTTTAGATTGTTGTGCTTCATTCCTTTACACAATATCAATTACACTGCAAAGATTGTATCCAAATGTTTTGGTGACAAATTTTTTTTGTTGAATTTGTAAAAATCTCGTGAGTAAGATAACTCGTTAAAATAATTAAAACTATTCAGTATCTAAAGTCTAAACAAACAAAATTTCTGAAATTGGCGCCGTTTTAAGCTGTCAAAAAAGGATCAAATAATAATAATAATAATAATAATAATAATAATAATAACAATAATAAGCAAATTAAGGATGAAAAAAGAATTTTAAAGCTTACCCTTGTCATTGAATCCACGCCGGATTTTGAAGCGCCATAAGCAACACCACCGGGCACGGTTGCTCGATTTAAACTGGCAATGGATGAAATATTGATGATGGATCCTCCTTTACCAGCATCACGCATTTTCAGACCAACATATTTCGAAACTAACCATGCTCCTGTTAGGTTGGTTCTAAAAGTAGAATTCCATTCCTCTTCCGAAAGATCTAATGATGATTTTTTTTGCCCTGAAATACATAATAATGTCTTGATAATCAATCTAGTATAAAATTACATACTTAGCTCAAAAAAAATAAAAATGGAATGAGATTTCAAGTAACTAAAACAAAATTGTAAATGGTGATCTTACTCTTACCTCTAATTCCAGCATTATTAACCAAAGCATCAATATGTCCAAATGCCTCCCAAGCCCTATTCACGCACACTTCAATGTCACCAGCATCGGCTGTGACGTCGAGCTCGACGGCGACGGCTCGAATACGGTCAGTAGTACTACAACTGATTTCTGAAGAAGAAGAAGAATAAGATGAGGATAATTGGTTAATCTGGTCGCAGAGGGACTTAAGTCGATCCGTGCGACGGGCGGCGGCCACGATCTTGCAGCCAACCTTGGCTAGGTCTAGGCAATATCCTCGGCCGAGCCCGGAAGATGCACCCGTCACTAAAACAATCTTCCCATCAAGCTGGTTCCAAGGTTCGAGTTCGGGTTGATTTGCCATGGATGTTTTGGTCGATGCATTTTTTCAATCTCTGGACCTTGGCTTCTATATATAATCCCTCGGTCCTATGATAATGTATACTAGTTCTAGTTCTGGTAGTTTAATTAGAAAAAAAACTATCAGTTTGGGATATGAAAGGAGCACACTACTTTAAATCGAATAAGTTCAGCATTCGTTTAAGGGTCTTTCTCGGGGTCATTATTGCATGGAACATGTTAAAGTTGTGGACTAGAAAAAACATGAACCATGTGATGTGCTTTGTCTGAAGAACTGAAGAAGTAAAGATTATGATCTATCATATGAGTTAGGCAACTGCTTCATCAATATTTCCGAAAAGGGTCCAGGAAAGGATAAGAACAGATATAGTTACCTGAATTTGTCACTTTTCCAAAGAAGTGAAAAAGGACCAGACATAATTAATCAGGCCAAAATTATGTATTGGGGGATGGTTGCTGAAGCAACCTAATTTGGGACACTGGAGGTGGTTCCACTGAAATAACCAACTATTGGTTCACAGGGTTAATGACACATTTATTGTTAATCATTAAGGAAAATGTATGTACAAGAGAAAATGAAGAATTTGTATAAGAAAATAAATTAGGTAAACTAAGTGAAACAAGAAAAAGACATCTTATATATTATACTCCCTCCATTTCAATTTGTAAGTCGTTTTAGGTTTGGAGAAGTTTTTCAAAATGTAAGTCGTTTAACAAATTTTAGACAAATTAATAACTATTTTTTCAACTTTACCCTCAATAAATGATGCTAATCTATTTCATTTAGTCTTGTTTATAATTCTAATATAATTAATGAGGGGTAAAAGCGATATTTAACACATAAATTAATTATTTGATGATTGTCTCATTAGTTTACGTGTCAAGTCTAAAAAGATTTAGATTTTGAAATGAAGGGATTATATTGTTAAACTAATTGCAAAGCAGTTGGGATCGAAGTCCGAAGAGGCTCTAAAGAGTAGGCGCAACATTACTATCTAGTCTAGAAAAACATGTTAAGTTTGTTTAAGGACCCTTTAAAAATTATTGGCTCGATACACTTTTGCTTGGGCCGAATCGATGTGATTCTAATAGGAGTTAAAAGTGATTTGGGAAATTGAGTTATTAGAGCACTTTGAAAATGCTGGAGAAAGTCACCTGTAAACTACTACTCCTTCCTGTTCTAAGTCTTCTTATTATAAATCTAAATTTTATTAATCCTTCAAATTGAAAATTATTTTTAAGGTTTCACTTTAACCTAACAAATAAAATTTAGGACAAATTAAAATGTCTTATATTAAGAACCGGAGAGAGTAAAAAAAAGGTGGCCTACAGAGTTATTAATTTAATGTTACTATTTAATTTCTAGTTTCGTGAGTTGTGATATCTTGGAAGATTACATTTGTTAGATTTTTATTTTTATTTTTTTTTCAAATTACAAGGTATCCACTGTCGACAATAGTGACTCTTTCTCCATGCTGATAGTAGGCACTTAGATGGATGGGAGAACTGGCTAAAAACTGTAAAGTTGTTGCATGCATATCCATGACGAGTTTCGAACTCGCAACTTATGGTTAAAGATGAAAGAGCCCTTAAATTTGTTAGATTAACCATTACATCGAGATTGAACTAATGCTTTTGAGTTGTCTAATTATCGTCTGTTATAACTAAAATTTGTAAGTGTTTATTTCCTTTATTGTATAAAATAAATTTACATTGTCTGTTGCCTATACCTTTTTAACAGTACTCCTTATTATTCCAATATGAGTGCTGTTCTTTCTCAATTCATTCTCCACTAAGCATTTTAACTAGGCTCATTCTTCACTTTTATGTTACGTAACGAGAGTATCAAATTCGAGAAATGTTGTAAAATAAACCTCAAATTAGTTATCTGTACCCATTATTTCCCTAACCAAAAACAAGTCAGTACAGTGGTTTATTAGTACATTTCTTTTTGGAAAACAAAAGGTTTGTGGAGTACAAGAGATTTCCTAACCACAATTAAACAAAAAGTTAGAGGAGTAACAAATGATCCTAACCACAATTGTAGTTATTATTAACTTTCATACATAAATATTACTATCTAGCTTTGTCCAAAAATAATATCCACATCTAGTTTTCAAATTTGTATTAAAATAGTACAAATTTCAAACTCCGTGTGAAGAAAAATGGAGAATATGTTCGTAACCATTTATCCCTGGTAGCTTTCTGTCTTGATTCTTTGCATGACTATTTCAATGTTGAACATGTATGTGTAGCCATATAAATTTATGAAAAAGATATGTATAGTGAAATAATATGCAGTGAAAGAAATAGCAACTTATGTGTACTTCTACTTTGTTATCACTTTGTCATTGAAAATTTATCTTCCTCCAAAATAATACTCCTTCCCTTCTATAATTATTGTCCAGTTTGGGTTTTTATTTTTAGTACAAATTGAATTATAAATTAAAATTCAAAGTAGACCATAATTTTGGGACAGAGGGAGTACTTTTATTTCTAATTATCGTATACACATCAATCATTATACGACATTTTTACTATATATTTTTTTAATGTCTCTACCATTGTTGTAAATTTATTCAAGAAAACGATGTTAAAGAACTTAACCATTAAACTCAAATCAATAGTGATGTGAGTACAAGAAAAATTTAAGCATTTTTAAAGACATTATACGCGAACTAATCTCTCATTTGAAATACGGATTTATGGTACAACAAAAATAATAGTTTTGTTTATGATACTATATATTTTAATATAAATTTAACAGAACAATTATTTTTGGATGGAAATAATAACATGAAACCTTTTGGTTCAAAGTTAGCTAAGGCGTAATATTTCAATATTTCTAGCTAGGTCCTTTTGGTTCAAACCTCTGGGGTAAATAAAAAATTAATCAGTTACCGAAATTGATCAAACTCTCTCTCTCTCTCTCTATATATATATATATATGTCTCAAAATTATTTTTCTATTTATTATAATAATCTTGAGACAAGTGACTGAAGCTCAAAAATGATTCACATTACAATAAATGTAAAACATAAAGTAAAAAGATCAAAAGGGACAAAAGTTAAAACTCAAAAGAAACGGGACTTTTCCAAAAAAAAACAAAGAAACCGGACTTTGAATCTTTCACTACTTTCCACATTGCTTCAACAATATATTGTCAAGTCTAATAGAGTGAAAACGCAAAACACAAAAATACTTCAACAAGACCCATATCGTGAACCTAACATATACGCGTTCTTCCGCCTTTCATTTACTTACACGTTGTTGTGCAAAAAGCAAAGCTGTGCAAAGTTGATGGTTGCCCAAATGAACGATATCAGTTTTCAATTACTTGAAAGTGAGGAAAAAGTTAGGACAACCGGTAAGATATACTCCCTCCAATTCCTGATATATATAAAGTATTTTGATTTGTTCTATGTTTTATTCAGTATGCATGTTTAATTGACAAAAAATTTTAAAAATATTTCATAACAATTAAGAGAATACAACGAATGTGAAAATATATTTTTAAATTTTTTTTGTCAATTAAGCATGTATATTAGATGAAAGTTAGGACAAATCAAAATGCCGTATATTAAGAATCGGAGGAAGTATCCAGCATCAACAATGAAAAGATTGTCAGTTACATAGATGTGGTTCATGAAACAAGAACCGAACATAGATGATTTGGTACTCTCCAATTTGGATGCAATTATCTGTTAATAACATTGACAGTGTTGAATATAAAAGTCGAAATGAAGAGGGAATGGGAAAAAACTGAGAACAGAAACATCGATTTCGGAAAGGATTAATGAAAACGAAAAAAAATCACTCTTCCTCGTGTAGTCTAATTCCTTCTCTCAACTATTTGGCTTCTAAAAGTCTTGAGGAAATCGTGTACTCCATCTGTCCCAAAATGATTGTCCAATTTAATATTTCACTTTTAGTAAATTTTGTATTAAAAATGAAAACTCAAACTGGACAATAATTATGGGACAGAAGGAGTAAAAGAAAATGATAATGACGGTGAAATGAGAATGATGGCTTGTACAAGAAAAATTTGAGCTACGACTTGAGGGTAATTATAATAAAACAAAGAAAAATATTTATGCAAAAACTTTTGGTTAATATAGGTACAAACACTAGATTGGAGATCCTACAATATATAAAACATTTCCAGCAAGTTTTGAATGCATTAAGTCGCTAGTGAAAAGAGATAAACGAAATATTGGATAACGGATAAGTTAAAATTTATGTACATAAAGAAAACTATAAAGAATCAACTCTTTTACCCTTTTTTTAAAAAATTTTTTAATGGTGAAACAGATACTTAAGGCTACATTTTGTGACGAGTTTCGAAACCCCACACAAAATGTGTTCATGTTGAAAATGGGTTTCGGACAAAATGTGTTCCGCCACCGTAAATAGGGTTAATTTGTCATTAATTAACTTAAAAAGAGATACTTGGTTTTCCAGGAGATCAGTGAACCACCAAGAAAAATACAGAATCCACTCACCGATCCTCTATTGATGAGATCTAATCCCCAGTCTGCGTTACTAAATGCCTCAAATTTAAGATCATTTAGGAAGAGTCCCTAATTTTTTACTACATATTTAACTTTTGCATACAGTTTTCCCATCTTGTAATATTGTTTATTAATCAATGGTGGAGGTAGGATTTTATAAATAAAGAGGCAAAATAATCAAAATTTTAGTTTGCAGGGCGAAAATATCAAAAATTTCCTATTTAGACTAAAATTTGGGAGCACTCTTTAAGGAAAAATTCCGGCGAGGGGACGATCCCTGCTGCTGGTCCCCTAGCTTCGTCACTGGGTCTAACTACATTTCGCAGCCCTTTTGTGAACATTTCACGTCTCGTCCGCTACCTGCAAGACAGGAACAAAGTTATGAATACTGTGGTTTCCTTAGTTTGATTATGAAAGCACTACAGTAAAGAGCACATGATAAGAATTTGTTCGAGTATTTATTTCTGCGGATGTTGGGCAGTTGCTCTCTTTTGAAATGAAAACTTGATCATTACACGATGAACAGATATCAAGTTGCCCAATTGCACGAGGAGAAATAGGGAAGACCACTTCTTTCCCAAGGAATCATTGGCTTTTGATGAACTAAGCTTTTGTGGAAGAAAACTTCTCTAGGAGTGAGTTTTGTTCAAAAAGGAAAAAAATAAAGAAAGATTTTAGTTGTTACATAAGTAAATAAAGATAGTTACCCTTTTAAAAAAAATAAAATAATGATAGCTACTGACCAATTCGCGGAACTTAATTATATTTCTTGAATGATCATAATACTTCCTCATCTCAAAATAAAATTCATTTTTTTATAGTGTAGCAAAATGAATTTGGTGTTGGTTTATGCCCTGAGCCCAAATAAGTTTATGTTATTGTCATATTATGAGAACCTATTGGTTCACACTCAATATGTCTATAATTTGGGTTTTATGTTTTGAGCTTGATCTAATTATAATTAAAAGTTAATTCGTAATTAAATGGATCAAGGTTATAATAATAATTATGGTCATTAGGATTCTCGATATTGTTGTATTATAAATAGATAATATCGGAGAAACCCTGATCACTTCCTACGTCTAAATTTGTGTGGAAGTCGGAGCCGTATCTACTTTGCCGTCGCTAGCAAGCCGTCGAATGAGATACCAAAAACAGTTCAACGATCGATACTGGTAGAGGAGAATTATCCTTGCTCTCTCGTGATTCAAGTTGTGCACAAACAATTTTTGGTGAAAGATATTCGATAACATTACCATAATAATAATTGCATGAATCTATGACTAGGGTTCTTGTTTATTATCGGCTGCCTAATATGTTTTATACGTATGGAACCCAACATTAGGCTCCTCACGAAAATCCAAACCCGCGTTCTACCGTAATCTACAGTCCACAGAGAATGTGTCTTGAATTTTTCCCATCAAATTAAGTCACACAAAAGTTAGCGAATCATCATGTGCTTTCCAATAAATTTCAAGATCTATGTAAACTAATTACGCTGTGATACAAGAAAATAAATAGAATTCTTATATACTATCTCTATCCTAATAAAATAGTCCAAATTAAATTTTAAGGTGTGTATTAGTTTTAGTAGAAATTTTTAACTCAATGTAAACCATTTTTTGAAACAAAGGGTAATATACAGAGCAATATATATATTATTGCATTTATAGGTGGATATTGGGAACTAATAAAGGGAGAGTCTTGATTTCAAATAAATTTCAAATACCTCTCATAATTAACTTTAACAAAGAAAAAAAGTGGAAATGGCAAATACAAATGTTTGCTCTCAGTACATGTAGAGTGTTTGCATACAATGAATTATCTTCATATTGTTGCGTGCCTGCCTAACTCCTTTATCGTTTGACTCTATAACATTAACATTACACACACACGGATCAATTATATGTATACATTTACATATAATTGTATATATATATATATATATATATATATATATATATATATCCGTTAATTTGCCCAAACATGGATATGATATATAATACAATCTTGAATAATTAATTTATTTTATCTGATATAATTTCTAATATATTATTCATTCGGTGTTCAAAATTATATTATTTCAAGTACTCCTCGGGATGATAATTCGAGAGGAATTGTTTGGCTGGGAGAGTAGAGTTTTTTTTTTTTTTTGGTTTTTGGTTTTTTTTTTCTTTCCTTTTCATTGACATTTGTATTGAGGTTGGCCAAGAAGAGACTTCACGGATCCTTCGTGTTTTGAGGGTCCTTCAATCCATATTCCTTTTTTTTTCCCCTTTATAATTAACCTACATTATAATTGGAGAATTTGTTCTAGAGTTTGATAGTCCTACAAGTGTGCCAAATGTATGTATTTCAAGCCTAATTAATCTTTCTCACGTGTGAAACCCACTTTGTTGATTCTACTGCTTCCAATCTTCCACGGTTAATGATGCTTTTAATTTGTGTTTGAATTTCTTTAATTAAAAGCCTTCTGTCTCCTTCCACCTCAAGTCTAAACTCCCGCCGATTTTGCTGCCCAAGGATAAAACTGTTGGCTTCCCATTGAATTTATGACAAAGAAATACTATAAAAGAATCCCAACTTCTATAGGTTTTGAGATCTATGGGTGTTTTTTAATCAATCCCACTGATTTCTTCTTTTTCTTCTTCACGTTCAACCAATCGACCCCCTCACTAGACGCTCTCAGCAGAAACTATACCCTCGCTGACGAGTCATAAATTAACCCTAGGCCTATTGGGCCTAGGATTAGGTTACTTGGAGATTAAGTCCACCGCCTAAACCTATTCCGTTAGGGTTTCAGGAAACATGTAACACCACCTCTATATAAAGAGGTGGTGCATCTCCCATAATTCATATCTTCTACCTATCTTCTACACCTTCTACACACGATACACATCCCTCTCTCTCTATTATCTCTATTCCCTTATTGACTTAATCATCAGAGAGTCTACCCTCGGGAGACACCCGAGGCTCTGTCTTGCAGGTTTTAGGTCGTTCGTCGCCGCCTAGGTCATCATCGCCGCCTGTCCTAAGCACCGTACAAATCCATTCTTCGTCAAGTGGCACGCCCAGTGGGACCGATTTGTTTGGTCCTTACAACCAAATAAATTTCTTAGCGAAGCACGGAATCTTTTGTATCTTTCGCAGCCACAGTGTTAATTCGTTGTTCCGATTTTGCAACTAGAAGATCACGCAAAAAATTATCTTTGTTTGGCCAAGAAGACGTCAGCCGACAGGTAGCACAAAGAAGCTTTCGGTTTCACAAATAATCGAGGAGCTACACTCACTCCACAGCTGATCGAGAAGAACAATTAGCAAGGGGCAACCTCGAATATTGAAGTTTCGAGAGATACATCTCCTCGAAGGGGCAAGCATCCCTCGAGCACCTTACTACTACCCGAAGTGTTCGAGAAGATGTATCTCAACTTTTATCTACTCAACAACTACCTTCTCGAAATTAAGTTGCATATCGATGAAAGACCTGCACGACAGGCAATAAAGGCTTCTCCCCTTCAAATAAGAGAAAAAAGACTTCTCCCCTTCAAATAAGAGAAAATAGGCTTCCCCCCTTCAAATAAGAGAGTAAAGGCTTCTCCCCTTCAAATAAGAGAATCTAGGCGCCATCCTCCTAATTCGGCATAAACAGGCTTCCCCCTTCTAATAAGGAACTCGCTAACACAAAGACCTCCTCGAGGCATTCTACTCTCTCTATTTTGTATAGGTGACACCCAAGAACGAAAGAGTTCGAGAACTGGGGCAACACCACGAAACTCGAGAAGACATCAACACTTGTAGCAACCCATATCCTTCTCATCAAGTCTCGAGAATATGGCTTGCTAGGGGCACTTGACGAGTCATAAATTAACCCTAGGCCTATTGGGCATAGGATTAGGTTACTTGGAGATTAAGCCCACCGCCTAAAACTATTCCGTTAGGGTTTCAGGAAACAGGTAACACCACCTCTATATAAAGAGGTGGTGCATCTCCCATAATTCATATCTTCTACCTATCTTCTACACCTTCTACACACGATACACATCCCTCTCTCTCTATTATCTCTATTTCCTTATTGACTTAATCATCGGAGAGTCTACCCTCGGGAGACACCCGAGGCTCTGTGTTACAGGTTTTAGGCCGTTCGTCGCCGCCTAGGTCATCATCGCCGCCCGTCCTAAGTACCGTACAAATTCATGCTTCGTCACTCGCCAATTGCGAAAGCATCACACATTGCAACAAGCAAAGTTTCATCACTGTGAAAAGCGGCACTCTCAAATAGGTCAGCGCTAGCTCTCTATTTTAATCCAGAAAGCGCAGTTGATTATTTTTTGGTGGTTTAACTTTTAAGTACAAAAATTAAAATATGAACTAAATTCCACTCTTCTAATTTGGTTGCTAACCAGGGGGAGGAGGGAGATGTTCTCCTAAATTGCACCTGCGCCGGAAAAGAAAGAAGGGAAAAATTATGTATGTTTGTATGATTAATGGATAAAATACATACGGTAGGTATCCTTTTAATTGTCTTAGAATTCAACAAGTTTCACAAAGTATTTGATTGGTTAAGCCATGCATGCGCGCGTGTTTGCATATCTGTACATGTATCAATTATTCAATTGAAAGGAACTACTTCTACTACTTGAGATGAAGTTTAAGAAAAAAAAAAGAAAAAACATAGTATAATGCAGAAGGTAGGTACGGTACCAGCTGATAAGGAAGAAAGAAAGATAAGGAAACCCACAAAAAGCATGCACAACACCAGCAGCTGCTTCAAAACTCTGGAGGGAAGCAGCTTCGTCTTCATGGTTGCCATTGATAATAAAATTAATTAAATCCTGGAGCGAGAGTAGTATTCCTGGGTATCGCTCATCCGGGCCGAGGTTAATAATCCTGAAAATTGAATAAGAATGAATATCTCATCCGACCTTGAATTAGTTTGGATTGATAGTTATGAATTAGTTTGCTTCAACTAGGGTTAACTTTAGAGAAAAATCAATTATATTTGTAGGATATGTGGTAGTTCTTTAGGGATCAAACAAATAAATAAGTTCCTTCTATTTTCATCGAAGGCTTCATGAATCAATTTATATTGCTGGTTGAAAGAAAACTTCTATTGCTGCAGAATTAAAAATAACTTCTAATGAATCAACCTATATTGTACAAAGACATGTCTGATTTGAAACTTGGCTGAGAATCCAATTTGTTGTGAAGACTCCAAAAAAGGTGTTGAGTTTGTTTTTTGTTATATTCAGTTATGTGTTAGTTTACCTATAGCTTAGTAGAAATCTTCTACTTGCTTGTTTGTGTCTTTCATTTGTCTATTTGATGCATAGCTCCCCACAGTTGATGTTTAGAAGCCATAAATTTTAAATAGGTTATTCGTGGTTTTACTCTAAATGCATTCTTTAATATGGCGTTTGGGTATGATGTATAAACGCTTCTTCAAGGAATTTACAATAATTGTTCCTCTTGGCTTTATCTCCATAAAAAATCACCACCACTTAAAAATGAAATATGCAATGTATTTATCAAAATTGAAATGTCTTGCTAATGAATTCAAATTGTATTAAACTATGTGCACACTAACACTACCCAACATACATAATGTATTTATCTACTCCCAAAACAAAATAAAATAAAAACCACGTCCATAATCAAGTAAATTTAGTAACACACGCGCGAGGCGCGTTCAAGCCACCTAGTGTAAGTTACAAGTGGCGATTTTAAGTATACGTGCAATAGAATTTTGTGTCTTCTTCAATTTATCCGATATGAAATCTGAAAACCTTGCCATGGGTTCTCGACATCCCCATTACCTTTCCAATCATGGACGGCTCCATAGCCTTTCCAGCGAAAGCGACACCGATGAAGATGGCGGGCAGTCAATAAAGGAGCGCTACCCTCACCTTTTCAGGAAGAAGGAGAAAGTTCAGAATCGCCGTGCCAAGAAGAAGAAGGAAGCTTGGAAATCCCGTCACTCTCCGGAACGTGATTTTGTTTTTTCGGGTATTGATCCGGAAACGAGTATTAATTCCGATAGCGCCAGCAGCGTCGGCCTAGAGATCTATCCTACCGTGGATGAATACGGCCGATTTTATGGTCCTGACCCTCATCGATCGTGGATGCCCGATGTGGCTCCCGTGCTATCTTGCCGTAACCCTGCTTATTATCACCACATTCGGGACCCGTCTTCCTTTTTTCCCCTTCTGATTTTGCTTATCTCATTTTGATTCTGATTCTTTTTTATTTCCCTCTGTTGAAAGGGGTCAAAAATCTTGAATCCTAAACATGCACAAAATTAGCCGGGAAACTAGAGATATCTGAAATTTGGCACTGGTTGGAACGAACACCCTTATGATTCAGCTTTCCCATCTGAAGAGAATGGACTCTCCACTTTCGCCTTCCAGTTCGGGAATAGAGGAGAAATCATGCTAGCTGCTAATCATTCAGCACCAGGATCAGCTTTTATGGAGAACGTTTTTGCTGTTAATTCTCGCATTATAGGAACCATCTCTGGTGAGGGTGAGGCCTGCGACCATGCCATCAGAGTGTTACTTCGCCATCTGCGTTTCATTATCCGCCATGAAGAAGAATCTGTTTTGGTTACTGCACTGTTTATGGTTGACTTGCTGCGCCAAATTTCTGCTGAATGTGAATCTCTCTATCTAGTGGTATTGATTGCTGGGTGGGACGAGAACAAGAAGTGTGGTGAGTTGTATCGTGTGGATAGTAAGGGGGTAGTGATGAATGGTCATAAATTTGCTACTGGATCCCAATCTGCATATGCGTATGTTGCTCTTGATGTGGGTTTACTAATTAGAGGGAACAAGCGCCGAGCCACTAGATCTGGACTTGAACCCGCCAACTTTTTCCCATACGCCGAGAAATATGCCGATTGGTCTGTTTGGGCCGCTGATGAGACTGGATGGTGGGCTAGTAGAACTGTATACCGTGTTGCATCTAAAGCTCTTGATGAACGTTGTTATTTTGCCAGTGTGTACAATATTGGACCCAATGGGTGCAAGACTCTTCGTGATGACATACATGTCATAGAGGATGCGGTGCAAGGCCCGGGGATGACCTCTCTTTCCTAAGTGTGAAGAACTTGAGCCTCTTCTGGACATAAGCTCTAACATTCTCTAGGGATATTTGTTTTCTTGAATTATTGTGTGTGCCAGCGGCAATTGGGATTTTATTTCATCTTGAATTTGTAATTTGGTCTGAAATGCAATAGACATTAGCTAAGCAGGACACACAATACTTGTAGTCTCATAGTTTGTGCTTCTGACTTATTGCGACTTTCAGAAGGGATCCAGTTTCTCTTGGTGCAAACATATTTTGTACGATCATTTATGTGGGATCCAAAACCAAAACCCTTCCAAATTCTATCCTGGAAGTGGAACATTACTCTTAGAAGTGTTAACAAAACTACCCAGAACATTGTTTTTCTTGAGAAAGTGGAGACCAACCGGCGAGAAGCGCCATTTGGCACACATGCAAATTCCAAATGGAGTACATGTAACCCGTTTTCTTATTTATTTAATCCAAAACTCACATTCCTAACCTGGATCTGGGGTTATTTAATTGCTCCAGGAGTTTTTTGCGTCTCCCAGTGTCATAAAACACCTTGCCTTTCTAGTATTTCAGCCTTTATTCATGATCCTTGGCCTTTCTGCCTCTTGAAAACCATCTTTTTGTTTTCTTTTTACTACCTAAAATACACTCTTCAAATCCAGCAGCACCTTTCCATTTCCCCAGAAGAATTAGACGGTTGCCAAAGACCTTTTGTTGCATGTAAAGGTTGTAAACTTCGCAAAAAACTTAAATGCGCAGCCAGCTCCACTTGCAAAACCGATTAAGCTCATTTGGAGGGTCAACAGAAGCATTTATTTCCAGTTAACACCTCCAAGGGCCAAATCTGGTCCTTTAAATAAGTGATCGGCATGTCTTATTCACATGCAAGTGAGAATTCCTTTTCTAGTGTTTACACTCATCAAGGGCCTGAGTTTTCAGAGGAAATGAGGAATTATAATCCAGATCAAGATGTGCCACCACATATGATCTATAGACCCCACATGCGGGTTCTCAATAAGCAGATCTCAGCTGTAGCAGAGGAGTTCTCGCCCTAAAATCAATCTCTTTCCTTAATAGAGTATCTCATCGACGATAGATATTTTAATGGTGAACAACTGCAGAACTACATAACTAAGAATTGGGCTTTATATGCAAGGGTTGTACACTATGATCGTAATTTTTTTGTGATCAGATTTGTAAGCAAGTTAGATCTCCTTGTGGTTCTAGATAATGGATCATATGGAGTGTATGGTGGACTGCTGATACTGCAACGATGGTATGCTGATGATGATTTAGTCCTGGATAGGGTTCAGATCACAAAATTATCAATCTGGGTTCGGCTCCATAAGACTCCACTGCTGAATTTCAACTGGAGAGGAGCGCGTGAACTAGTTGAAATGTTGGGGGAGGTGGAAATGATCAAAGAAGATTACTTTGCGCTTCAGAAGGCAACGTATCTACGAGCTAAGATCTGGATCGAGCCAAGTAACCCACTAACACCAGCTTTTCATACCACATCCTCTAGAGGTACGCCAAATTTAGTGGAATGCAGATATGAAAGGTTGCATAAGTTCTGTAAGAGATGTGGCAGGCTAGGACACTCGAATCATAAGTGTATGATAGTCTCTGATGTAGCATTAGAGGCTTTCCTCACTGACTACTTTAGGACTCAAGCAGAAAGAAATAATACTCAAATGTATTGGAATGAGCTACGTGAGATGTTTCCAGAGACCATGAGAGCAGATGGCCATAAAAACAGAAGATGCACCACAATGACAGCAGTGTTTCTTAATAGAACAAGGTCTTATTACGCTCTTATTGAGGAAGAACGGGTAAATGACGGCTTCAGAATCACGATGGGTGGGGATCAGAGCTTTCATGCAATGGATATTGATCCGCCCCCGAGTGAGGATGATGAAGACCACAATGATGACCAAACTGATGAAGAGGAGAATCATGAGGATCCTGATGGTCTAGAGGACCCGGAAAATAGACCACCAGATGATGGCCAAGAGGAGGACCAAGAGGACATGGAGGTGGAGAACAGATTTGGTAATGGAGTTATCAACGACGGAGGCCCTCAGGAAAATGGTTTCCATGAAGGATCTGCAACCTCCTCTCCGCTAGGCTCTGTGGCTAGAGGTAACTCACCTAATAGTGTGCTCTCTTTTCCTTCTTTTACTGTATTACATGGTGATCGAGATATGTTGCCTAATTACAATCCGCTAGAACTAACACAGGCAACCTTCTCACCTTTAAGTAACCCGATACCTTCTGAGGATGAACCTCAGGAAACTAATGGTTTGGAGAATTATGTTGATGTTGTTTCATATGTTGAACCTTCTGTGTTAGTCAATAGTCAGATTTCTGGTAATTCAAATGTACTGTCAGTGGACGAACACAATGTTGATGTACCGTCTCCTGGTATAGGGGATTTAAACACTAAAGATAAAGATAGGAAGTTCAGTGTAGGTACCATGGATAACCTCCCTGCGTGGTGGAGATCATGGGGTTTCTTCTGTAATGCTAAGACTAATATAGTTCAGGCAGATCAAGACACATTGTTTGATACGGAGAATGAAATGGTGGTCAAAGAAGTGGATGCAGAGAGTCTCGTAACTCCAGAGATGGAAGAGGCAGACGCTCAATATTAACTGGAAGAACAAGTAGCACAGTTCTTCAGTAGGCTGCTAGTAGCTGGGGATGAAATTAACAACATGGAAAAGGCCATTATTCTGTCTTAGCCACAGTTGAGGGAGATGGCTGAGAAAGAGGTGAATGGGCTCACAGAATATCATCACGAAAGTTCTAGTAAGAGCCAGGGGAAGGGTAAACATGAAGCAAAGACTCTGGTGAGGAGGACCTTTAAGAGACAAGGAATGAGTTTCATGGCCAGGCAAGCACAACAGAAACGAGGAACGCAAATGCTAATGTACCAGAAGGAGCTAAGAACCAATGGAACTTTAGCAACAGATCAGTCCCTGATTGTGCCTACTTATCAGCCTCATAGGACCCTGGAGCGACTAAAGATATGGAAGAGACAAATGGCCCTGGAAAATATGACAGTGAGAAGTGATTTGCTGGTAGGAAATGAGGCCAAGGAGACTGATACGATGGCCAAAAGACCAAGGGAAGTGACAGAAGAGGAGTAACAGCAGCAGGGAAGGAAAACTCAGTGTCTGGAGGGTTACAGAAGGAGCCTTTCAACTATGACCAATTTGATTTCTTTTTTTGATAGCCAATTGACAATGCGGGAAGCACTGAAGGGATTTGCGGCGGTTGATCCAAAACAACTACCTCTGTCTCCATGAGAATTCTGAGCTGGAATTGCAGGGGCATGAATAGTAGCCCCACTAGGCAAGTATTATGTAAATTAATGAAGCAGTATAACCCTAGTATGTTATTTTTTATGGAGACAAAGATGGCAGCTAGTAGTATGGTTAAATGGTAGCAGGGAACTAGTTATAGGCACCTCATTTTGGTGGATCCAATAGGCACCAGGGGAGTATTAGCCTTATTTTGGATAGACGGAATCTCTCTGACCCTGTTAAGGTAGTAGAAGTGACAAGACTAGAATGCGTTGCTATCTTTCTGTATGGTTTTCCTTCTAGACAGGGGAGAACCAAATTTTGGCTTGATCTAAATAGCACAATCAGTCCTTTATTGTATCCTAGTATCTCTTAGGAGATTTCAACCAAGTCATTAATCAAGAAGACAAATATGGGGGCCGATTAGTCAATGAAGCAGATACTCACTGTAGCAAGACTTTTCTGAGTAAGCATGATTTGGAAGAACTCAGACATCTTGGATGTTGGTACACATGGACTAATAACAGACAAGGACATAGCCTCATATATGAGAGATTGGATAGTGCTTTTGTCAACAAAGCTTGGCTGACTTTCTTCAACAAAGCTATAATCAAAAATCTCCCCATTTTGAAGTCTGATCATGGCCCCATTTTAGTGGACCTAAAAGAGCAAAACCACGAGAAAAAATAGAAGAGAATGTTTGAGCAATTCTGGGTGAGATTTGACAAGGCAACACAGATTGTCAATCAACATTGGCAACATAACCCACAACAGAATCCACCATAGGATCATGACCTACAAAGAAGCATGTCCTTCAAATTGAACAGATGTTTACACCATTTACACAGCTGGAGTAAAGACAGTTTTAATAGCCTTGATAAACATGTTCAGAAATTGCTCAGGGAAGTGGAAATTCAGCAACAATACTGGGAGGAACGTAGAAACCAATTACAGGCTCATGAGAAACTCATAGAACTCAAACAAGCAATGGAACAGGCTCTGGTAATGCAGGAAGACTACTGGAGACAAAGATCTAAACTGATTTGGCCACTACAAGAAGATAAGAATACAAAGTTCTTCAACAAATGGGCATCCAGGAAAAAAGGCAATAAATGGATTACAGAATTGCTAGACCAAGAAGGGAACTGGATACAGGAGCAGGAGCAAATAAGGCTTCAAATTGATCAACATTTTTCGGATGTTTACACTACTCCTAACGAATCATATGTTCCAGGTAGGGAAGATTTAAATGTAGGGGACTTACTGGCCACAATGGAGGAAACCTTATCCGAGGACCAACAACAACTTCTGGGAAGCCCTTTCACAGAAGAAGAAGTCTGGCATGCTGTTAAGCAAATGGCACCTTGGAAGTCACCAGGGCCGGATGGTATGCCAACGGGTTTTTACCAAACGTACTGGCGACCAATCAAAACGGAGGTAGTTCAGGCCATATTAGAGGTGACACACAAGGAAAAATTCCCAGGGGAATGGAATCAGACCAATCTGGTCCTCATCCCAAAAACAGCAAATCCAACTACGCCAAATGATTTCAGACCAATCAGCCTGTGTAATGTCAAGTACAAGATCATTACAGAGATGATCACAACAAGATTTTAAGGCGGTCATGAATGATCTGATAGATGACCACCAGAATGGTTTTGTGCCTGGAAGGAACATTAGTGATAATATCCTGATTGCACATGAAGTAGTGGAATACATCAAAAAAAGGAAAGGCAAAGCAAGTGTGGCAGCAATTAAGGTGGACATGAGTAAAGCATATGATAGAGTATCATGAAGCTTTCTCAGAGAGGTTTTAAATAAATTAGGTTTTCCTGCTCGGTTAGTTCGATTGATCATGCATTGTGTCACCATAGTATCCTACTCAATCTTATTTAATAGAGAGAATTCGGCCTTCTTCCAGCCAAATAGAGGTCTTAGACAAGGGTGTCCTCTCTCACCATACCTGTTTATACTTTGCCAACAGGCATTATCATCGGCTATAAGAGCGGAAATTAGGAAACTACCTGGACTCGGTATCAAGATCGAGAAAGCTACTCCAAGAATAAGTCATCTGATGTATGCAGATGACAACTTGTTCTTTCTTGAATGCAAAGAATCATCTGTCAAAGCTCTGGCTCATGCGATCTCTCAATATGCAAGACTATCAGGTCAGAAAATTAACCATTCCAAGTCCTCGATTCTGTTGAGTCATAACACCACACAAGAGAAGAAGGACCTACTACATCAAACACTTGGCATTCAGTCTACTAATTTTCAAAGCAAATACCTTGGGATGAGTCTAGATTTTGAGGAAAAGAAGAGACTCATTTTTGCACAGTTCACAAGCAAGCTAAGCAATAAATTGGGGGATTGGAAGACAAAGTTGTTATCTTTGCCAGGTAGAGTCACGTTAGCAAAGTCGACGCTCTCTTCAATGCTAGTCTACCCTATGGGTGTTTTCAAGTTGCCCAAGGACACCCTAAAAAAGGCAAATCAGATCTTAGGTAAATTCATCTGGTGTGGTGACAAGGAAAGTCGAGGCATAACTTGGAGATCATGGGATAAGGTGTGTAAACCGACATTACATGGAGGGTTAGGACTTAAATCGACGGAGGAATTTAATCAAGCACTACGTGCTAAGCATGCTTGGAAAATACTCTCTGCTCCAAATTCCCTCATATCACATTTCTTTCGAGGTAAATACTGCAAAGGAAAAAGCTTCATAGTCCCAGAGAAAGGTATTACCATGTCATAGGGATTCCGAAGCATCCTATGGGGCTATGAGTTATTAAAGGGGAAGTTCAAATGGAAAGTAATTTCGGGAAACAGCATTAAGATCAGTGATAACTGGATCCCATCAAGGGATAATCCAATTGCTAGTGATTCCATCCTGGCAACAAACACTGATTTAAGAGTTACCAACTTGCTTAATGCAAATGGCTCCTGGAAGACATCACTGCTTAGAAAGATCTTCCCCCATTATGTTGCCTTTTATCCAGGGAATCCACATTGATCCAACGCGGAGAGAAGAGGATGACAGACTACTTTGGACGGAAACGGAGCATGGCATGTACACTGTTAAATCAGGCTACAAGGTAGCTTACAATAAAGCATACCCTTTGGACTTAAGGGACATACATCAAGAGAAGGCTGCGTGGAAACATTTGTGGAAAACCAAGATATCTCAAAAAATGAAACTCTTTGTTTGGCGAGGAATTCATAATGCACTTCCAACAAAACAAGGGTTGCTTAAAAGAGGAGTAATAACAGAGGATTTATGTCCGAGATGTCAGGTGCAATAGGAAGATGTTTCACACCTATTCCTGGAATGTCCATCCTCAAGGAGGCTTTGGAGAATTATGAGCTTAGGTTTTAATTTTGACACAGGTCAAGCCATGCCCTTCAAAGACTGGTTCCTGGAGTGGTTCAAAACAGGTCCTGATGCAATGGCAATTGAGTTATCAATCTTTGTTCTTTGGAAAATTTGGAAGGAGCGAAATAGTTTGGCGTCCACAACAAGGAGATCGACAGGGTGATTGTACAAGGATGTGGAATACAATCAAACAAGATTACAACCTACATCTCAATCTTTGTACGAAAGAATGGAACCAAAATCGGGGCAATTTGATCCAAACAGAGGAGATTGCAAAGATGGATGACCTCGACATAGCCTCACATGGCCATACTATCATGCTAGATAGATCTTTCTTTCTGGCATCAATGCAAGCGGCGGGAGCATGGAAAATTACCACAAATCATGGGATGATTCAGCAAATTAAATCTCGGAAATTTCCTGCACTTACTCCCCTACAAGCAGAAGCCCAGACCCTGCTGTATGCCATACAAGAAGCTGCAAGCATGGACGTCCAGCCCATCCTTGTGCTTACGGATTGTGAGTTCTTAGCAAACAAATTGATTCCCGATCAATCACTGGTTGAAGTTCAGGAATTAATTGTTGAGATTAGTACCATTTCCAAGTCTTTCCTTTCCTTTTCTATAGCTAAAGTTCCTCGTGATGTTGTAGCTGAGATGCATAATATAGTATATAATCTAACTAAATGTAAAAGTTTAAACTCCCTTTAACTAATATAAGCAAGTACACTTTTCAAAAAAAAAAAAAAAAGGTATACGTGCAATGAAACATATGGCTTTAGGTTTCATTAAAAAAAGCCCACAATTTCTCAATCCCATTAATGTTAATTTCATTGTCATTCGTTTTCATTTTCCTGAAAAGATCTCACGCTTTTAGTTATTCATCTCTATTGATCCACATGTGTTTTGAAGGTATGCATCAAGTCTTGGGAAGAAGGATTCAAAAACCTTTATTACACGCATCTTCTAGTCCGGAATAAAATTTAGACCACTCTGCTCCTCACACAAACTAAGGTGACGAGTCCGATATATGCGGCCCTCAACCGTGGTCGGCCCAAGTTCGAAAAACGATCCAACCGACTATTTGGAAGCTTCTAGGTCGGTTCCTAATTACTTTCCTACCAAGAAAGGGTTTCATAACCTAGCTTATAAATAAGGATTAACCCCTCACATCAAAGGTACGCTCTACGCACTACAATCCATACCACTATTACAATTACTTTTACTGACTTAAGCATCGGAGTGTCTACCCTCGAGAGACCCCGAGGTCCTTTTTTGCAGGTTTTAGGATTTTGATACCGCCATGACCGTCGGTTCAATCAACTGGAGACATCGATACAAATACAGGCTTCGTCAAGTGCCACGCCCTGTGGGACCCGAAGGGTTTCCCTCAAAATAAATTTTCTCAAGAAGACGAACTGGATGGAACGCGTCCATTCAATCATCAGTGATCAATCTCACGGCATCACAAGCACAAGCTTTGCCGAGTCAAATCCCCCGTCCAAGTTACAATAAT